AATCACTCACGTTTCCGATAATGCGACACCCCCGCGCGATCTAAACGCGTCCCGGTCGACAGAGCCTGAGCCAGTCCAAGCCGTCGAGCTAGCCGCCGACCAATCGCAAGCGACCTTCGACGTCACCACATCCGCTAGCGACCAATCCGGCGCCCGTCAGACAAATGACGTCGGAGGGGTGACGTCACCCTCGCGGGACGGCAGGCGGCAACGTCAGCTCCCTCGGGGCGGCAGTGGAAGGCTCTCAGCTCGTTCAGTGAGCTTGACGCCGTCGCACTGGACCCGGAGGAGGAGAATATTCGGGCAGCGATGCTGGAGCTGACCAAACTGCGAAAGCGATGAACAGGGGGGCGGGGGGGGGGGACAGCCCGCAGGGCGCTCGGGGTGCCCGCAGGTGTTCTCCGCAGCTATCGCGCGCGAATGTTACTGAGCTCTGCGGATGCTTCGACGGCAGGTGGGACCTGGATCTGAACTGTCGGATAAGGTCGATACGAATTGAGCATCCACAAATGTTTGTTACCTCTCATCCGATGATCGTTATGCGAGTATTTGTATGTCATAAAGTCGCGAAGGACGTTCGGGTTTTGGGAGCATGTTGACAAAACAGCGCACTTACGAATTCATGCTGAAAAAAACAAAGTGCGTATGACAAAGTGAGTATAAAGAACAACAGATCGCACATTTACAAAAGAAGGGCATGCAACGAATGGTTACGAACGATTACAGAAAAGCGGTTCTTCCGGCGTCCTCATCAACAAAAGAGGGGCTGCATTATTTCAAAAATTTATAGAATAACAGAGCACAGTTTTGTTTTACAAGTATTATACTGTATGGAGCTGGCATGGTACCGTTTCAGCAGCCAAGGACGGGTGATCAAGGCGAATTACATGCTTATTTTATTATCTGCATTTAGTTTCCTGTGATTTAAAAGGAATGAATTTCAAAGCCTGTCCGGAAAAACTTACCACCCACCCTTCTTTCCTCCTTCACGCCGCATCCTGCATCCCCACGATGTCCTGTTTATCATGGGCAAGCTGCATGCACCATCCGCAAGTGGGCTTAATTACACCCATTATGAGCGCCGATCACATGCCCCCAATAGGGGGTCCTGTGCGGACCGCACAGCGGTGAAGGACTCCCAGGTAACTTTGTCCCACCAACACTCAGTCTCCTGCATCACATAACCCTGAAACGGTCACGAATGACCGGAAGGGCTCTAATCTCTACCCACCCAAAAAAGTTGAAAGGTTGGCGCACGAAATCAGCATGCATCTGTGAGAACCATGAGGCAAAAAAGCACGACCCGGCTTTAATACTCATGAAACATAAAACGTCTCCACGGACTTCTTAAGTTATGTAGATATGCCCATGGTATATAACCCACTTTCATCCACCTCAATTCTCTTCAGCGTCTTTTTGTTGGGCATACATTTGTGGTGATGTCAAAAAGCGCTGCTGTGGTCGATGATTTATGCTAGCGGTCGTAATTCGCTTTGGAGGATAAAGTGCCTAAAATCTGTAAAAAGTTCCTGGACAATTTGTAAACCCTATCTCTCTCTCTCTCTCTCTCTCTCTCTCTCTCTCTCTCTCTCTCTCTCTCTCTCTCTCTCTCTCTCTCTCTCTCTCTCTCTCTCTCTCTCTCCTCTCTCTCTCTCTCTCTCTCTCTCTCTTCTCTCTCTCTCTCCCTCTCTCTCTCTCTCTCTCTCTCTCTCTCTCTCTCTCTCTCCTCTCTCTCTCTCACTCACACACCCACACACACACACACACACACACACACACACACACATACATGCACACACTGATTTCCTGGAAGTACTTGTCACCCCTGAACCCGCTTTCCAATTTAGCCGTGTTTCGGGTGTGGAGAGCTACTATTTTTCCCGTTCATGAAATGACTCATGAAGCTCATAGACTGCTAGAGCACTCATGGGACAAAAATATGCATGCTTAACATCCGGTTATGTCATAATGCGTAATGGTTTTGTATGATGTCAGGATAACATCTTCTTCATTGCCACATAGTTTTTCCTGCGCCTGGTTAGGCGTAGTACTCCCGACTGAGGAAAAAAAACAGTTAGCTGATGGGAGCAGCACCTCTGCCCATGCGTCAGCTCGGTGGAAAAGAATGTATGCAGGAAAGTTCTGCCGAGTATGCGGTCTCCCAGCGCTGAGTCATGCCCAGCCGGCGACAGGTCGGCTCAAGATTCCGAATGGAACCCCACCAGATGTGACTGACACAAAAATCTCCACAACGGTTTGCAAAAGGCGGTTCCTTTTCCTCATTCGCCTACCTTGAAGAACTTACTGGCCTCAAGAGACCTCATGTGGTCTCGTGCCCTACACACGCACATGTCACCTGCCGCTGTTCGCCTGCGTCTGCGCTGCTTGCGGCTGTCATTACGTGACTGAATCGAGGTAAACGACCGATAGGAAGCGAAATCAGGTCTGCAACGAGCAACGCATTATGATTATTTCTCGGTCAGGCCTGGTGCACTTTGTGAGTAATACGTATCATCTTTTATGCAGATATGCATATATGTATATATAAATATGTTTTTGTCTAATGCAGATATTACACACGACCAGGGTAAAGAACAATGCAGCGATTAATAAATCGACATTGGCCACGGCAATAAGACGATCGTCACTGTAAACGTTAATGCAAATAAAAGCCGCGTTGAAATAAACATAAAAATATGGTACTAGAGAGGCACCGCTTGTATTATATCGCATACCAATTGATATCTATATGCATAATAAATACATTATATTGATATATGTATATATATATATATATTGATATAAAGCGATAATCCGTAGCTCTAAATTTAAACGCTTTCAGTCCCATGTTTGTTACAGTTGTGCGTGACACTTGAGATGTCATTTTAACACATTTGACAGCTCTCAGTGTACTTGCGCGTATTGCGAAATCGCATTTGTCACTTACACTGAAAGTTTTGAACACACATTCTCTCCCTGTACTCAGCTTGTATCAGTATTTCGCTACTCTTCCAGAAATGATTTACAAATGAGATCGGCTTTTAAA